ACAAATCCCATGATGCATCTGTCTCTGGAAGTCCTGCCTGCGGATGTGCGTCTTGCAATGCCCCATGCGATTTGTAGTTTCACCACAGCTGGAGGGCCGAAGTTTGGCTACCCCTGGTCTAGGGCAGGAGTGGCCAAACTCCAGCCCTCAAGCTGTTGTGGAACTACAAATCCTATGAGGCATTGCAAGATTTTCACAGCTACAGGCATGGCTTGCAAAGGCAGATGCATTATCGGATTTGTAGTTTCACCAGAAATGGAGGGCTGGAGTTTGGCTACCCCTGCTCTAGGGTAGGAGTGGGCAAACTCCATCCCGTCAACTTTTGTGGAACTACAAATTCCACGAGGCATTGCAAGATTTTCACAACCACAGGCATGTGTCCCAGAACCACAGCTGGAGGCCCAGAGTTTGCCCACACCTGGCCTAGGGGTTTGATTATGTTCGCTTAGTGTTTTAGTCAAGGTTTAGGAAGATTCAAAGTAGAACACAAACATTGTTTAATAAAACTTTTTCTTGGATAGAGCCCGAAAGGTTTTTTTTTTAACTGCCTGTGTTCCCATTGGGGAAATCTACTGTTGCTTACTGTCCTAGAGGCACAATAGGATGTGAGAGCAAATCTCTCCAAAGTTGGGGGGACCTTTCTAAAGCTGGTCAGTGTCATACACTGCTTGAAAACTATCTGAGCAGTGTGTGGCCCCCTACAGACCCCCCTTCGACAGAAGTCAATTTTTAAATTGACTTTTGGTGAAGAAGTCAGTCCAAAAATTCTCAGCTGTCCAATGGCTGCAGTCACTGTTCAGATAGTCTGAATGCGCTACTCCCACAACTGTCTGAATACAAAAAAAAGCGGGGGGATTCCTCCCATTCAAACTGTTCAGCATGGATGGAGGAATCAAGCGTATTTTCTCATTTAGCCCACAAGGCTAAATGAGAAAAAGAATGCTAGGTGTATAGCCAGCCTCAAGGTGAGAACACACGCAGCGACTTTCCTGCTGCATTGGCGGAACTTCACTGTGTTGGTGACCCTATAAGTTCAGCAGAAATTGTTCATCAGATCCACTTTTGCCAAAGTAACATGTTGGAAAATCTTGCCAATCAGCTGCAAGCTACGTTCTGCTATTATGACAGCGGTCACTGTCAGAATACAATAGAAGCAGCTAAGGCTTTTTGGGGGGAGATTCATCCTCAAAGTATAAATGAGGGAAAATATGTAACTGGAACAATAATGTAAAGCTTATGGGTGCTCCAGCTGTCAGCTAAACTACTAAGCAAGCGCAGTCTCTGTCCCCGTTGGAGATATTCTCTTATTTCCTGCCTTGGTGACAACACTGTCACCCACACAGAAAGAAAGGGGAAGGCTCCCCAATTTAGACCTATTTAGCAGTATAAACATGACTGGGGTTATAAACCTTTCCCACACCAACAAAAAAGTTTTGGCTAGAGATTAACAGTGTTACTGTAAGTGTTAGGGTGAGGTTAAGGGTTACGTGGATGTGTTGGGCAAGAGTAATTTGTCATGGTGCACGTGATTGAGATGTTAATGTCATCACTCCTGTAAAATGCCACTTTCCTTAAACTAGCCATACACACATGGATTGAGCGAGAGAAATCTAATAGAGTCCCCCATGGTGGATGGACATATCTCTACTGGCGGCTGTTGAATTCAGACAACTGGCTCCCCGCGGCTGTCAGAGCACAATGAAAACCAGACAAGCAAAAGGTGCTAGTTAAAATATTTATTAAGAACAGTGTCCACAGGAGCAAGCAGAATCATAAGTCTGAACAAGCCAATCAGGAACACAGAGATCAGCGTCGACAGGAACAAGCCAGGAGCAGGAGCCAGGAAATCAGCGTTGTCAGGAACAAGTCAGGAGCAGGAGCCAAAGGAGAACGTCAGCCAGGATCCGGTCATACATAGAATCAGGATACTCAGAGCAGCAGGAATGCACTAGCAGGAAGACCACACAAGGGCAAGGTCAGACTGGAGTGGTTAATATATAGTGAGTGGGGTGACATCATCACTTAGAGACAGGAAACTCCCATCTGACTCTCTCAGATGATGCTCTTCTGTCTGGCCATAAGAGGGAGCCTGGTAGTTGTGAGCAACGTCTGCTCAGGCAAAGAAGGAAAAACAGGTGAGTAAAATGGCAGCCAAGCCAGAATGCTGCAAACCAGTAAAGTCATGGTGGAACCCTGACAGCGGCTGTCAGAATACCTGAACAGTGACTGCACTTGGTTGGATGCATTCTTTGTTTAGCCAACAATTTTCCACCCTGCTCCATCCATTTTCATTCGAAGTTTGCCGAGCTGAGTGGTGCCAACAGGGCCACCCATGGCTCAAATCTCAACCCATTCAGCGGGAATCAGCTGAAGTTCCAATCATGCATGTCCAGCATTAGACAAAAAGAGAGATATGTTATCTGCAATTATTTGATGTCACTCATGTAAAATAAATTATATAGTATATGAGAAGTACTTTTGTTATTTTGGTAATATTATGGACTCACTACAAATACGCTGCAGGAGTGATGACAAAAAGTCCTTGAGATTTATTTAAAATTCTTTAGCCAAATGAGGACACATCCTAGTCACGACACATTTGGCTATTGCGATTCTATAGGAGGGACAGGCAGCCCTGTTTGGACAAGCAATGTAGAATGTGCAGCTTTTACATAAATGAGAATAGTTGATTTCCATTTCCATTGGGGTTGGGGATAATTAGTGTTTTTTTACATGTGAATTAGATATATATTTAAACTAAAAGCCTATTGTCAAAACAAGTAAAGGCTTTGTTTTAACACAGTATGCCTTTGTATGACTATGCATCTTGCCCTAAAGGCAGCTAGAATCTTTCAAGCAGCTTGAGCTCTTCGGTGGCTGCTGAGCACAAGATGGCTACCCTCTCACTCTGTAAGAAAGTGTCAGTTTCCTGAGATCTCTGATTGACCTACCTTCAAAAAGACTAAAACAAAATAAGTAAATAAAAAAGGTTAAAGGTACAGCTATAGATTCCTTCAACCTCACCTTACTAAATGTAGACAACAGTCCTACATGTAGCCTTTTAATCCAACTCAATGGACTCATGTTTCCTGCTGGGTGGTTATCATTTTAATCCCACTGATCAACTTCTACAGCTGGCTGCCTTCCTGGCTGCATGACTCTAGATGCTTGTATCCTTATTTTTCAATGGCCCTGTGAGCCTGTACACTACCCAAAGAAATTAGATGGTTGTGGCTTTACATGTGGATCACCTTTTCAAGATGGAGTTAAGCTTTTTAGGGTGCCAGACACAACTTTTCATACACTGCATTGATGATGGCCAATGGGCCCAAAAACTGCTGTATGTCATTTTAAATAAATGTAATTATAGGCTGCAACTGTACTATAGACCAGTGGTTCTGCATGTACAGATAGCACAGGGACATTAAGGAATTATTTCCTTTTAGATTGTAAGCCCTCACGGGCAGGGCCCTCCTTACCATCTTGTCTTGAATTGTATTGTAATTGTAACGTCTTCTTTATATTGTAAAGCGCTGCGCAAACTGTTGGGGTTATAGAAATCCTCTATAATAATAATGATAATAACTTACATGGCTCTACCCACTATTCTTATATAAGGTATACACCCCTTTATTATTAGATTTTGAGATGGAAGTGAGACATGTAGATACCTTCTGTTTTATGAAGGTTCTACTGTGCCCTAAAACATTTCTATAAATGTTTTAGAACCTTGTGGTGTAATCTGTAATTGTTTTCAGGATGTTTTCTTTTGCACTTGGGCTCCTATTAAACTACTCCAGAACATGGTGATAGGCTAGCATAGTAATAAAGCTACAGGAACATGTACATTTACAGGGTACATTTCAGAAGGTTAATATACAGTACACCTTTTTATATAGGGAAACATTCCCCTTAAAAGTCTATTTTTGTATGGGTGAACAACACTCTGTAACCTTATAGGTCTGCATCTGTGTATATGTATGCAGCAAAGTATATTTCAAAATCTAAATGGAAAATTTGGATTTTAAGTGGCTTTTATTGGTTAGCTTAGATTTAGATGTTTGAAACACATTAGGTTTTTTGTCAGGCATTATACTTGTAGCCAGTAAGGGCTACAAGTATAATGTAACTTAATCTTTAGACTCCCCTTTCACTGTAAAAAAAAAAAAGAGAATGGGAATGCTAAAAAAGGTCAATTTTACATGGTTCCTGGAGAGTTATCTAACAAATCCAACTGGGTGGAAGTAGAGCCAGGAAAAGCCACAGTGGAGAAATCTGAAGACACCGTGCCACATGAGAGAAACCAGGAGGAGAGAGCCCTTTTTACTCAAGTTGACTGGTTCATTAATGTATAATAAACCCCAAACAATGTTTTAGATTAGGAATATGGAAGGGTTAAAACCTATGTCAAATGTTATTGCTGGCGGTGTCCATGCTGGGAAGATTCACCCTCTTTCTTTGTCCTGGTGACCATTAGAACCAAGAGAGGAAGTGATGGGAAATCCAACAGCTATGAAGATATTTCATCTTACTTACTGATGTGTCTCCATAACAGGAAGTGAAGGAAAATCTCTCAAATGGGACACAGACAGCAAAGTAAAAAAATGAAAAGGGTTATTATAACCATTCCCTACTCTGTATAAAAAAATGGAGTAAGATATACTTCAACGGTGGTGAGCAAAGTGCAGTAGCCAGTCCCAACCAATCACATATACTCTACTGAATGCTTATATTTTTTGCATTATGTAGAATTGAACAGGTGCTCAACAGGGAGTAAGAGCATTGAAAACTCCAAGATGGGTGAAAACAGCAAGCAAATTTTGGATGAAGATCTCACTAGTGGAAAAAATATAAAATCCAGGGGGTTACTGACCCCAGTAGACTTTTCCTATAGCTGAAATACCATTTTTAGTTAGGCTGACCGTTTATCTTTTTGAAACACTTGGCTGCTTAGTGTTAACTACTATCAATTCTAATTAATCTGCAGAAGGATCATGATTAAACACAAACAAGTCAGTTTTATTTAATTAAAAAAACAAATTTCATATATACATGATTACCCGATATACAAACATTAGATGCAAACTCCCAAAACCTCCACTTCCCCAGATGATAACTTGCACCAATTCTTCAGATATCCATTTTAATGGAGCAATATAAAGTATCAATAAATATATAATACATAGTAATACAGAGTCCATTGTCTCCAGTCTATCAGCGGTATTTCTGGTAGAGTAAATGTCCGAAAACCGGCGTGTTTGGGCTCAGAGCTGGCGTCTGGCTATGATTTCGGCTGAAGAGGCGGAGTCTGCGGCTGCTCGGATTAAGAGCCATTTGGACCCCAGAGCTTTAGAGAAGTGATCTTCAACAGAGCTGTGGATGTAATGTGGTGGGGATGTTTTAAGACTCTGTTGGGTGGCACAAGATTTGAGACTCCTTTGGAAATGTTCTTCTACGTCAGGTGAGCTGGCTCTGGGTGATCCTAAAAAAAATTGAGAAAAAGGAAAAATATGTTATTTGTACTGATCAGCTTTTAAAATGTTCACATCTGCTGACTTGGATCCCTGTCACCTCTGAATATTGACCATGTAATTATTGCTCACCCAATCAAATTATGGTATATTACTTTGTTTAAAATTAACCTGGCCTTTACCCATGTAGCAGCACATATTCACCTTTCTCCCCCTACCAGCCATAGGTTCAGCAGCCACTAGGAGAGAACTGAGGATGTGTGGTATAATTTGTGAGCTTACACAGAGCTCACGACTTTCTCTCCACCCTAGGTACCCTATTGCAATATAACAATTCCAAACCATGGGTGGAAGAAGAGTGAGTAACATACAGAACAAACCCAGAAGTACCAGATATTGCTCTTTGCTCCTGGTGGCAAGCAGAACAGTAGGTCAGAGAAGAGAAGATACGTATGGACTGCTGGGAATTGAACCTGTATCTTTGCCCATAATGGACACAGCACGGGTTCACTTTAAAGTGAGTCTATCTTTCAGAGCAATATAATAGCATAAGGTCTCTGATAGATAGTAGACACCATAAGGTGCCAGATTCTCCTTTCTCTTTACAACAAGTCTCCTTGCTACCCTGCCAAGGCTCCAGAAAGTCCCTATGTAAACATTTAAATAGATTTAGGTATGCTCCTGATAGCAAACTATGCATTGCTCATTTCAGGCACCTTTCACTGAATCCTGGGATGAGAGATGACGTGTACCCCATATCCCTTATGTTTGATATAGTTGGGGACTCCGGAGGTGCTGTGAGAAACACAACAGGTATGATTTAAAGCAGGGATGGCCAAACTGCGGCCCTCCAGCTGTGGTGGAACTACGAATGCCATGAAGATTTGCAAGATTCTCACAGCCACAGACATGACTCCCGGAGAGAGATGCTTCATGGGATTTGTAGTTTCACCACAGCTGGAGGGCCGGAGTTTGGCCATCCCTGATTTAAAGAGTATCTAAAAAGAAGTGTTGAGTTTTTTTAAACTTCTTCTTTTAATACCATTAATCTCTAAACCTATCTTGCTTTTAAAATGTCAATATTCCTATATCTCTCTTTTTTATAATACATATTAATAATCATAATAAAAAGCATAATAAAAAGCATAAAAATATTCAGTGCCACAATACTTGTTTATTATATATACATGCTGTGCTTTCAGTCCAGTAAACACAGCAGTTCCTGTACACTTAGAGGGCTCAGTGCTAGCACTGATAAAAAGATTTTGATTTGGCTAGCTTAGATAATTGTGGGTGACTCTGGGAATGGGGTAGAAGATCCAATACATTTTTCCAGACCGCATATATTCTGCATCTGTTTATCTACTAAAGCTCAGTATCCGCAGGTTACAGCTGGTAAATATGAAAAAACATATTATTTCATAATTACATGTGTAAACAGAAGAAACTCTTCTTTACAATCTAAAAAGATATATATATTAAAATGTAGATCTTTTTAAAGGTAAACACCGGGGAGCTGCAAGAGTCTAAATTCTGACACTTTGTTAGCATTAGAGATATAGCTATTGTAAATGAAGATGCTGTGTAGTTTATCTATACCTCTGAAATCATGCTGAGATCAAATAAGAAAGACTTACGGTGAACTTCTGCTTCCTGTGGTGGAGTTGATTTTTCATTTGTAGCAGGGGGAGAGATGGGTTTTGGTCTAGATACACAAGTGATCACAGAGGGTCGATTCTGAAAGCAGGAAAGGAGGACCATAAGTCACATGGCAAAATAACACATAGGAAAAAGCATGACTAGATCAGGGCATACGAAACGCAACCTGAAGTATGTAGCTTCAAATGATAGAAGTAAGCCAAAAAGCAGTCATTCTCACCTGCTGCAGCATTGCTGAAGAAATAATAGGTTGCTTGCTGGGTCTTTCCAACCTCTTTACCAAAGCCAAGGGTTGATCTTGTTCATTCTTCTGTGCCTCCTTACTTTCCAAGGGCTTTCGTTCTGGTATCAACCTCTTCAGAACATGTTCCAAAGTTATAGGATGATGGGCAAACTCTTTAGGACTGAATGGTCCTGAGGAAGGCTCTCTTGGTGCAGGCTTCTGACACACTGCTGAAGAGGTCACCTTTACCCTGTGATTCAAGAAATATCATTAATATACCTCATCCACAAATTATGTTCACTTAATTATTTGTAGGAGCACAAGTATAACATTTAATGAGAAACTGTTTTTGTTACAAAAATTGCATACAAGTACTGTAAGCATCTGCAATATGGTGATAGTTTAAACAGAACAATGCTTTAAAGATATCTATTTGTTGCTTAAAATATATCAGGGTACTAGAAGGAAGAGAAGGCCAAAAATAAATGATAAGCTAAAATGCTAGAATCTTTGTCAATCTGATGTGCTTTGGGGAATCTGGCGGCACTGAAGTTTTCATCATTCTAATGTTCTGTACCTGCTCTGAGAGTTGGATGTTGAAAGTCTCTTTGGAGAACGCGGGGGTTCCGGACTGAGTTTGCGTTTGATTGGGTACACAGGTATTCCATGGTTGGTTAATGGCCTCAGCCTGTCTACATTCCGAGCACTGTGTTGCCCTGAAATAAAATTAAATGTATTTTCAGATATACAGGAAAACATACATTGTAGGCTGTGATGACAAAGGAATTATACAGGTTTGCATTGTTACAGATAAAGAAATCCATAGGGCCACAGCAGTACGGTGTAGAAGGTGGTCATAGGCTTGTCATACATTGGCAAATCTCTTTGATTATAGGTCACAGTTGTTCCTAAAGCCTAACTGTGCATTGTGCACATCAAGACTTTTCCAAATGGCCTTTCCCTTTTTCTTTCCAAAGAAAGCATTTTTTCCTTCACTGTGAATAACAAGAAAAAATCCTAATTGGTTCCACATAACTGCCAGCACACTGTGGGCTTCTGACTCATCTGAGAGGTGTTATAGCCCCTTCTGGCTCTTTGCTCAAACCATTACTCATGATCGAGTAATGCCATATTGTCTCACAAGATAGGTGGTCTCCTTGATCCACATCATGGCACAACATGCTTTTAATTTGCACGAACATAGTTTTATCTGCATCCAAAATAACTAACATACAAAAGCTATTTAAGCAAAGTAGTGCAAGGGGAAAGTGCTTGCAATAGGTTTAGTAACCCATAACAGCCAATCAGAAATCACATCAACTGGTCTATGATGGTAGACGTAAGTCTGATCATAGCATACTACAATTTACACATTCTCAATTTTTTTCTTTGCTTTAATAAATAAACAAACCATTACAATGATATGCAAAGATTACATAATGATATGAACTAAATTTTATTAAAAGATCAGACATCCACTTCCCAGAAAATTAAATTGGTGGCTGAATTTACTGTGGGTTTGGACATCCTTTGCAGCCACAAACAGTTTACAAAAAGGATAAAGTTCAGTCTATTCTACGAAGTTAAATAGAATATGCCAGATATTAAATTCTAATAAACACAATAATAATAAAAGCATAAATATGAATAATATACCCCAACTTTGAAAAATGTTAGACATGCCATGCTTTGAATACAAGGAATAATGACCTAGTGCTCCAGAATATTCTATTCAGCAATAGCAACAAGCACCTACCTTCCAAGATATAGACTTTGAATCCGCTAGAGATCCCCATTGTATAATGAAGGCTGGAAACTGCCATGACTGCTGCGTTATTCACACCTGAACAGGACTGGGGACTATTGTACGCTCGGCTGGTTTTATATTTACCTGGAAAGGTGGGCAGCCAATGGGATGTCAGTGTAAACTTAGCCGCTCCCACTCCCCTTACCTGACTGATCACCTTTCAGTGCTGCCTCCCTCCTCCTCTGCACCTCTGTAGCTCTCTGTTGTCACCACTTACAATGGGACTCTAATGACTTGGATAAATGAAAGAATTACAGCTGCTTCTTCCTTCAGGCAGCAATATCAGATCTCCGCAGATGTCAGCGGTCCCTGATTTCCAGGGCAGCCCCCTTTTTTTTAACATTTGCAACAATAAGCTTTTGTCCCTGGAAATGTCTCTGGTATAACCTGTAAAAGCCCTGTGGCAGCTCTTCATATCACTTAGCATTTAAAGAAAAGAGCTGTAATCTCTACATAACCTTTTCTATAAAACTGTTCACACACAATCGCTTTACAATCTCCTTTAAGCAGCCCATACACATTATTATCTGATTGTAAAAAATCATTTTCATTTGGATTTATCAGAACTTTGTTATGTGAGGGTTACCTAAAATGATTTAACCTGTATCCAATCAGGCACTACATTGTTGTTGATAGATCTGGAGTTTATACATCCAGATTGTAATGTGTATGGTCAACTTTAGATCTACCAGCAACTATGTAGTTTGAGGGCCTGCCTAAGCACACTATTTAAAGCAAACAAAACTACAGAGGGGCTACTTTACTGCAAGGGTTTTGTTTCTTTGCCCCAAAGATGGGCTTTAACTTGTACCTAGTTAGGCAGGATCTTGTACTACATAGTTGTTGGGTAAATCCAAAAAATATCCTAAAGTCAGATTGTAACACGTGTGCCCAGCTTTATACAGAGATTTGTAAATCTCAAAATATAACAATTTCTTGTCTTAGTTTTTAAGCTGGTTGGACTGGTTATATGCAAATTAGCTCATCCCTATACAGTACTAGCCAATCATTGTAGCCGGTCCTGATTTACAATCTTTGAAAGAGATATTGAGTCTGTGTGCCCCAACCCCTGGCATTATCCCAACAATGGACCCTTGTAGAAGGAAAGCTCCTATTGGTTCATTGGAGTGGAGAGTTTTTTTTATTCCTGGTTCATATCTGTGTAGGGAGCCCTCCACAAAGCTTGGTAAGAGTAGATCAAAACCCAACCTCCAAATTCTCAAAGCTTTACCATGTTAACGTAACTTCAGAAGTTGTTATTGATCATTTTAAATCTTTCATTAAGGGCTCATTCATACCTAAAAGGTCTGCTGTAATGTATTAAAGTATGCCATGTTGTGTGTGCATCGCTTAAAGCAGCCAATTCATTTAAATGGGTTGCCAACGCAACAAAACAGACCAAAAATTGGATAAGCACAATTTTTCCAGCACATGGCACTGCAACTCACGTTTTTCACAGCCTGGGATTTCGTAAAGTTGAACTTTAGGAATGATCTGAATCCTAAGGCCACGTTCACACCTAGGCGTTTTGTCTCTCAAAGCTAAGCACCACAAAACGCTCAAGACAAGATATTAAATTAATTTCGATGGCCCCTGTTCACTCCTAAGCGTTTTGTCACAAGCAGAAAAACACCTGTCGCTTGAAAAAGGTCATGAGCTACTTTATGGCAGATTACAGCGGCCCCATAGACTTTACCGGAAAATAGCTGCTTGAAACACGTGTTTCCAATTGAAGTCTATGGGACCAAAAAGCACTGTAATCTGCTAAAAAGTAGCTCATGTACTTTTTCCAGTGACAGGAGTTTCTCTGCTTTTGACAAAACACTTAGGTATGAACAGGGGACAATTAAATGAATTGGATTCCTTGTCTTGAACGTTTTGTCAGTCTTACCTTTGAACGACAGAACAACTAGGTGTGAACAGGAGCTGAAAGCTGGCCATAGACATATAGATTTTTTCTTATCAGCCTGCAGAAAATCACTTGATTCCCTCATCCACGTTAAACAGGATGTAGACAGAAGAATCTCCACTCCCGGCTATTGTGTTCAGGCATCTGTGACACCCATGGCTGCCTGAATACCAGAACAGTGAGTGTATCTATTAGGATGAAGTCAAAGTTTGGTTGACAAATATCCACCCACTTAGATGATGTTTAGATTTTGAACGCAGTCCGAATTTCAGCTCTTCCGAACATGGAAGAAGATCTTTCTGCTGCCACATGATAAGCTGTGGCTGGTCAATTCCCCACCAGCAGCTTCACGTAAGAAAAGGGGTGGGATGCATTGACATCATTAAATCTTAATAGTCGCATCACTATATTTTCTCAATGGCATTTACCTAATATGGCCATGTGACCATATAACGTCAATGATGTCCGCACAAGCATTCTACCGTTATGTTTATGTTCAGCTGCGGTACGGGAAATACCTGGGGTTGCAGCTGATTGAGCGGGTGGCCCCATGGCACTTCCGGGTTTGGAGGAGCTCAAGTGTGGACTGGGTGCAGGCCGAACCTGAGCTCGCCCCTAGTGCTGGCAAGGCCACCCACAGCTCAAATTTTAACAGAAATTGGACAAACTTTGAGCTGCTGCCTTGTCACAATTATCAGTCCCAGTTAGTGGCTGTGATATCACACATTCACTTTTAGCCACCACGTCATGGAATATTCTACCCTTCATGGCCATAGGCTATACGGTCTGCAGGCTGAGCCTTTGGAAAATACCTCATTTCACATGTCAGTCCAGCCGCATTTCAAGCAAAGGACTTCCTAGAAAGGCTCCCAGGGCATGCATTTTTAACATTCTTTGAAAGTAATCTGTCACCAGGGAAACGTGGGGCTTAGAGTTGCCTGATTGTCTTTCTGATCCAATAGCTTCAATACATGGACTCATGGAAAAACAATAAACCCTATCACTCCTCCAAACCTTTAAGTTAGCCATCTCTCCCATCTAAACTGTGTGGATGGAGGAGTCTCCATTGCCGGCTATTGTATTCAGATGTCCGCCACACCTACTGATGTATAAATACCTGAACAGTGACTGTATCTAACTGGATGTAGTCACTGCTAAGCCAACAATTTTTAACTCAGCTCAGTTGATTTTCAATTGGACTTTGGTTGAGCTGGGTGGTGCCGAAAGGGTCACCCATGACTCGAGTTTTGTATGATTCTGTATAAAATTCTAGATTTACCCCTTAAATTTCACAGCCTATCTTCAAGCTGGTCATACACTGCTGGAATTTTGTCCGAGTCCTGCTGACTGAGCTGTGTGTGGCCCTGCAGGCAATTGACTTTTGCCAAAGGATCTGGGCCAAAAATTGTCAGTCAAACAGTGCAGCCATCCCACGGGGGGTGTAAGAAAAACCACCAGTATATGGCCAAACTGCATGCATACAAGTGTGGCCATCTGGACCTGTACAGATGTGCAGGTTAAGGTCAGCATGTACCTGTGCGAAGTCGCATCCACTCATAGGGATGTACAGGTAGCTGCATGCAATTACACACTGCACCTGTCCCCTCTGGGAGCAGTAGTGTTGCCTCTAGCACCACAATTTTGTTCTTGAGAATATAGAGGAGAAAGTGAGAAGAGGCAGCCAGGAGAAAAAGCAAGAAGAGACAGCCAGGAGAGGGGGTAAGGAGACAGTCTATGGAGGACTACAATTCCCAGCAATACATTATACAGCAATACAAAATAATATGAAGCTACATACTCTGTGTTGTTCTAGGTTGGCGCCCTGATGGCCTGGTGACCTGCACGGGCTCTCAGATGGATGTGCGGGCTCTCAGATGGGCTGTGCGGTTCTCGGGCGAGCTGTGCGACTCTCAGGTGGGCTGTGCAACTCTCAGGCGGGTTGTGCGACTCTCAGGTGGGCTGTGCGACTCTCAGGTGGGCTATGCTACTCTTAGATGTGCTGTGCAACTCTCAGGTGGGCTGTGCGACTCTCAGGTGGGCTGTGCAACTCTTAGATGGGCTATGCGACTCTCAGGTGGGCTGTGCAACTCTCAAGTGGAACTTGCAACCCGCAGGTGGGATGTGCAGCTCTCAGGTGGGCTGTCTGGGCTATGGGGGCTCACCAGGGGTCCACAGGCAGGCAGCACAGTGTCAGGGAGCCGGAGAAGGAGAAGAAGGAGGAGGAGAAGGCAATTACAGATCTTCCTCTGAGCTGCGGGCGGCTTGCGTCTGTTTAGATGCGGTTATCAGGCAGATGCGGCTTCCCGAGATTGCGCTTGCCAAGGACCTCGGCAGCCGCATCTGTTAGAAAATTGGAATTGCTGGTGTCGGTGGCTGGATACTCCAAAACTGAACTCTCCGGCTGAAAACTGGACGTGTGGCAACCCTAGGGAGCAGGTCTCTGTACGGGTATACACGCCGTACGAATATGCACACCTGTGTGAATAAGGCCTAAGTTAAAATCATTTCAAAGCCTAGATAAAGCAGTTTATAATCTTTATCAGGTTATTTACTGCCATTTGTGATTTTCCACCACTTCCTGTCAGGAAAGAAATGACCCAAACAACTACACAGACAAAATACATCTGTGTTAAAGCGGAGAACAGTCAGAGCTTCGGCCAATGTTTTCATTGCTGTCTGTGCATCGTGTTCTGAAGACATCTGACACCCCAAATTTTTATATGGGCATCACAGGGACAGGAAGTGAGGGAAAATGTCCTCAGCCCTGTCACAGACAGAAATGAGAACATGACAGAAATGCAACTGTTCCCCCTTTCTATCCAAAACTTAAAAAAATGTTCTGGGGTAAGGTTTAAACTGTTAACCTTGTCACCCCAAAACTGAACTATAACCTTATCTGTGGGATGTGTATGTCCTGTACCAGGTTAATACCTTCCTTACATGCTTGCACCAATTCATACCTGCCCTGCAAGTGTGGCATCTAGAATTCTGTGATGATGAATTTATTAAAACTGGGGCAGAATCTAAAGTAGTTGTGAATGACAACCAATCAAGCAAAGCAAGTTCCTAACAAAACGATGACAGCTGCTTGGTTGTGGTCAATTCACTTTTGGTGGATCT